GTGCGCCTGTGGAGGCACCTTCTCTTGGACCCGCTGCGACGCCGGCTCCTCCCCCTGCCGGACCGCCGATTCTTGGGCCAGCGGATGCAAAATCCGCTCCTGCTGTGGGGTCTCCCCCTGCGCCTGTTGTGGCAACGATCCCGGATCCGGCTGCTGCGCCCGCTGCTGCGACGCCGCCCCCGCCTGCTGGGGCTGTGGGGAACCCGCCTCCTGCGGCGCAGACCTCCTCTGCTCCGGCCGCTGATTCCCCTGCTTGTGTGCCCCCCGCAATTTCTGCTGTCGGTGAGCCTTCTGTGCCGCCTCCGGCCAACGGATTGGCGTTCCCTCCGCCGTGCGCCACCACCGCTGTCCTGACTCCGGCAGTGGCGGGGGAGCCGGTGGCAACCGTCCCGGCTTCGATGACGTCTGTGCCCCAGCCTGCTCGCCGTCCGCCGTCGCCTGGTCGCCGCCAATCCCGTCACCCCTCCCCGTCTCGGTCAGGAGAGCGTGAGTCGGCGCGTCGTCGCCGTGACTCTCCTCAGCGACAGCCCCCCCCTGCACACTGGAAGTCTCATCGTGGCGGCCGTGGTGGTTGGAGGGGGGGTCGCGGACGTGGAGGTGGCGGTGTGTATGTGCAGCCGTTGACCCTTGCGGACGTGCAACAGGTTGTGTCAGCTGCAATGCGCAAGGAGAGGGCGGGGCAGGCGAGCCAGAGTAGCTCATTGCCGGTCGCACCCGCCCCTGTAGCTCCTCCTCCATTTGAGTGCCCCATCAGCAGCTGCGCCCCCTCCTCCTGCTCTGGCGGTTTAGGTTGCCGCGCCAGCTGCTCGCTCTCTGCTGCAGTGGGTGCCCCCGCTTTGTCGAGTAGAGGTCCCTGAGGCGATATTGGGGCAGCTGTGGCGCCTCTCGGAGAGCTTGCGTGCCATTCACTTGATCCAGGTGTATGGCCACCTTGCTCTCTCCCGCGGTCGCGGTCCTCTTGACGAGTGCCTTAAAGTTGCTGATCAGCTTGCGGAGGTCCTGGCGCCCGTGTTGGCTGCGCCCGCGCCCTAGGGGAGGAGTTGCGGGTGTTGGCCAGCTTGGTGCGGCCGTCCGTGGTTTGCGCCGGTCCTTGTGCGACGTGCCGCAAGCACGTAGGTGGTGCTGGAGTTGCATCGCACTTAGGCAGGGCTACTTGCCGTTCTTGAGGCTGGGCTACTTGCCGTTCGGATGTAGGATCCGTCGATGCTTGTCCCATGTTTGAACTTAGTCGCTAGCCACCTGTGCCATGCGTGTGATATCTTATGCTAATAGCTACTTGAGTGTGTTGCTCCTTGCCACCCCTCATGCGCGGCCGAAGGCCGCGCTGTCGAGCGTCGGCCGCCTTCGGCGGCCGGCACGAGCCGATCGGTTTGGGAGAAGAACTGAACCAAAAACCGAATAATGAGGATGGAACAGGGCCACCAAGGCCTTTATACTAGGGCTAGAGAGGCTAGGGAGGCTGAGGGGAGGCTTGAGAGGCTAAGTCACTAGATGCCTCTCTCTCTAACGGTCCTTGTATTGATAGAAAGGTGAGGTACAAACATGCAGGGCATAACGGCACCAGGTACAAAAGAAGCTAGAGAGCACTAGGCAACAGGCCGTACCACTATCCCCCCCCCCCCCCCCCCCCCCCCCCCCCCCCCCACACACACACCAGCCCCCCCTCCTAAGGTGCCTCGAGCGTGGTGAAGCAGTCCCCGGGGTTCAGCTAACCCTCCGGCCCTCCTAGCAGAGGGCCCTTTGCCTGTGCAGCTAGGTGCAGCTTGGTGAGGAAGCTCATCGCCTGAGCTCTCTGCAGGGCGACCGACCACCGCTGGCGGAACTGGTGAAGCATCTTCGCGGCCTGGAAGGTGGAGGGGTCCGCGTTGAAGAATTTTCGTGCAGCTTTGTCGGCCAGCAGCTTCAAGAAGGTAGGTACTTCCTCGCAGGGGCAGCCGTAGGTTTCTACCGCCAAGGGGAAGAACCCTGCAAACTCTGCCCTGCCATGATAAAGGTCAATCTTTTTATCCGCTTGCTCCCTTGCCGCCCAGCCCCTCCCTTTCCTTGCCCTCTTGTCCCTCTTGCTGATGGGATCGGTGATTGTGACGTCCGCCAGCCACACCGCGCCCGAGCTCCCATCCCGGAAGGCCAGGCCGGCCTTCTTGTTGTCCACAGGGCTGAAGGCGGTGCACTCCTTGTGTACTGCAAACCCTGTGTCCTGCGCCATGCGGATGCACTCGTCCCGTAGTTCGTTGTGTGTGTTGGTCCGGCCATGCTCCGTACCGCACCGGAGCAGGTGGTTCGGTATTCGTTTGTTTAGGATGGCGGCTCGTTTGCTGCAGTCACAGTGCTCGGGTATGGAGAGCGGGAGGCTGAGTCTGAATTGGAGGGCGAACGTGAAGTGGCAGGGGTAAAGGCGGAGTGAGGGCATATAGGGGATTGCTAGGAGCCAATCTCCTGCCCCATATCCCGTAAGGGACATGAGGCGTTGGGTGTGGCCTGACAGGGGATTCAGCTCCATCTGCCTGGATGCAGTTATCTGGGCTGTGCTACGGGCCCCATGGATAAGGAGGGCAAGGCGGTACTATAGATGGCTCTTGGGTTTTTCCTGTTCTGCTGAGATGAGGTCTCTGGCTTCCTGCGTGAGGCTGTCCCTGCAGCTCTGGATCCACCTGTTTAGTTCATTGGGGCTGAGGTCTGCTGCTCTAGGGCTGTCCAGTGCCGCTGCCATTGTGGCCCCTGCCCCCCCCTCCAGTGGCCCCAGGAGTGTATGCGCCTGTACGACACTCGCCAGGAAGCTGTAGCGGCCTTCCACGGCTGGGTCGGTGATGCCTAGGCCGCCCAAGCTCGGTGGTAGGGATGCGTGGACCCAGACCCGTTGTTCCTCCACCTCGCCCCTCGGATGGCGTACCCCACAAGCATCGAGGAGTGTGTAAAGCAGGCCCCGCCCCCAATTTGACCACTCCTCGTCTGGTAGCAAGTACAAGGGTGTGGTCCGTGCTAGGTAGGCTATGCGTCTGGAGATGCAGCGAGTTAGCAGCAGTGATACTACTTGGGGGTCCATGTGTGAGAGGTGGGATAGGGGGGATGACATAGATTGTAGCTGTGCCCGTAGGAAGGCTGCTGCGCCGTCTTATGTGCCGATGAAGCTTCCTAGCACACGCAGCCCTTCTGTGCTCAACGGGACTCCCTCGGGCAGGATCTGGGGATCAAGGGGCGCCGCGCTCCATGCGGCGCACTTCTCTGGGTTGTGCGTCAGCCCCACATCACGTAACTCTGCTGTGGAGTGGCGGAAGGCTTCTGAGCACTCGGCAGCTGCGCCTAGGAATGTAACATCGTCAGCAAACGCCAGGCACAGGACGGAGGGATAGGCCGCTGCAGTTTGGGTGAGGATGGGGTGGATCCCGGCGGCGAAAAGCAGCGGGCCGAGCGGGTCCCCTTGTCGCACACATGTCTCGCTGGTCAGCACCTCGCATTCGAACCCCGCGTCCAGGAACAGCTGGGCCGGCTTACTATACGACGTCCTGACTAGAGGGATGATGCTCTGGAGTGGCGAGGCGCGGAGTGCATTGACTACTGATGCCTGGCTAATGGAGTTAAACGTGTTTGCTAAGTCCGCCTGCAGCATCAGGGCGTTGGGATTTGCACACGTGTAGGCCCTCGCAGTATGGATAATCGCCTCGCTGCCGCCTTGAACAGACACGCAGTACTGTAGGGGGAGGAAATGTGACCTACATTCGTGGGATAGGGCTAAGAGGGCCGATTTCGAAGCGAACCGTAGGATGCACCCGCCTACCGCGATCGGTCTTGTGCCTCCGTCTGGCTTAGCTAAGGCTATGAGGCGGCTAGCAGTCAGTAGCGAGCAGACTGCGTCTGGCAGGTTGCTCCGCAGGATGGTATTGACGAGTGCGTGGAGGTGTGTGGTAACCCCAACATTTGCGATTGCGGCGTCCCTGAGGTGTTCGAAGGTCATACCAGAGGCCCCTCCTCCCACTCCGTTCTTGCTTCGGCAAAGTATTTTAACAAAGTCCCCCTTGTCGATGGATACTGCTTGTACGGAGTCGGGGATGCTCCAATCGATGGTGCCAGGTGGCGCTGGGGGGTGTTTGGCTTTGAGGGCGGCGAGTGTGTTTGCAGATGGGTCGGCGACTGCCGTTGACTCGAGGGCGAAAAGCGCCCTGCGTAAACTTCCTTTGCGTGCCAAGCCTTCGGCTCTGCTCCGTCTGCGGAGGTCATCTGGGGTGTGACGTGGCAGGTGCGGTCCCATAATTGCAGCAGCTGCCGAGTCGTACAGCTGTTGCCATTCGCCTTTGAGAAATTGGCGCAATCGCTCCTTGACAGCCGGCCAATCAGGTTTCTCCGTTGAGACCAGGCGAAGGGTGAGTCGAGGAATGAAAAGTAACAGGCGCCAGCCCACGATGGACCCAGGGTTTCGCGCGAGGTGCAGTAGCGGTGTCAGGATGGCTGAGGCGAATAGCGGGCGAATGTAAGCAGGCAATTTGCGGGAAAGTGGGGGCTGACGACTATCGCGTAGGGGGGAAAGGTCCCACTGTTCTACTTCGCCGAATCGCACATTGTCATCGGCGAGTTGTTCTGGCGAAAATTGGCGGGTCTGTGGTGACTGTGTGTTGGTGTCAGCTCCCTGCCGCGGTTGCACTTCGCTGGCTACATTTGGGGTTGGGGCGGCTTGGCGTGGGGTTGGGTTTCCTCGACTTCCATCTTCGCGAACTTCTTCCTCCACACCCCCCCCCCCTTCCGAACTCGATTCTTGCTCGGTAGTCGGTATAAATGTAGGGTCTCCTGCTTCACCCTCATTGTCTTCTGCACTTCGGTTTAAAGCTCTCCGAGAAATGTAGGTTCTCGGGCCCGCCCCCTCGTCCTGAGTGCCCCCCGCGTCTGTCGCCCCGTCCTCCCCGCGATGCCTGTTGCGTTGGGCGACAAGCTGCCGTACTCGCCACGGCCTTCTGGCGCGGCGTCTGTTGTCGTTGCCCCTCCGCTCGTGGCAGCTCCCGCGCCGGCGACTACGGCAATGTCGTCTCCTCCTGCTCCCGGGCCTGTTCCTCTCTCGGCGCCTCTTGCTGACCCGGTCCCTGCGCCCCTTGTCCCACCTGCTCCAATTGCAGCATCGTTGTCCGCACCTGCCGCTGCTCCTGCGCCTCCACACGTTGTGGTGACTGCTCCTGCGCCAGCGGTGGTGGCCGTTCCTGTGCCTGCTGTGGCGTCTGCTCCTGCCCCCGCCATGGTGGCCGCACATGCGCCAGCGGTGGCGTCTGCTTCTGCGCCTGCAACGCTATCTGTTCCTGCACCTCCTCCTTTGCCTGCTCAAGCCTCTCCCCCTGCCCCTGTGGTTGAGCCTGCCCCCGTACAAGCCTTCGTGGCGTCATCGGCATCTGCTGGGCCGGCCCTTTTGTCGCCCCAGGCTGCATCCGCCGGAGCGCTTTCTGCTGCTGCTCTTGGGACACTTGGCGCGGTGCCTACAGCCACCATCGGCGGCCAGTCCCAGCCGGGGGGTCCTGGTGTGGCGCCTGCTCCCGAGTCTCTTCCAGGTGCGCAGCCGGCTCCGCGTCAACAGTCCCTCCATCGCCGCTCCTCTCGTCCGCAGTCACCAATGCCCCGTGATGAGCGGGATTCGACGCGTCGTCTTCGAGATTCGCCTCGTCGGCAGCCTCCGCAGCCGAACTGGCCTGCCCCGCGTGGTGGTGGTGGTTGAAGGGGAGGACGGGGTCGTGGTGGTGGTAGCGGGCCGCATGCGCCGCCCCTGACGCTGGCGGATGTGCAGCGAGTTTTTTCGGCTGCTCTGCGTGAGGAGAGAGCCGAGCATGCGAGCCAGGGTAGCTCGCTTCACCACGCTCCGGCGCCTGTGGTCCCCCCACCTGCTGCTCTCCCCGTTCCCGTGCCCCCGGCCGCTGCTCCTCCTCCGCCTGCTCCTGCTGCATCAACCTCTGAAGGTGGGGCTTGTCTGCGGCTGCCATGGGTGCCCCCTGTGGCGGGCCTTGAGTTTGTGCCCCCGGCGGGGATGGTTGTTGCACCTCTGACTGATCATGCTCCTCCTGCTGTTGCTGATCGACTTCCTGTCCCAGCAGGCGAGACCCTTCCCCCACAGGTGCGCGTGCCTGCTGCAACTCTTGGCCAAGTTTGGAGGCTTCTGAGGGCCTGCGCGCGCTCCTGCTAGTTCAGGTCCAAGCGCACGCTTAGCTGTCACGGCCTCCCCGTGGTGTTCTTCTTGACGGGCAGTGGGCGGACTGTCTTGAGGCCGCTGACCAGCTCGGAATGCTCCTGGCGCCCGCGTTAACTGCGCCCGCGCTGAGAGGTTTCGCGGCTGTGGGGGAGCTTGAGGCCGCTGTCCGTGGCCTGCGCCGTCATTTGCGCGCAGGGTCTGCAGCCGACGCGATCGGCGCAAGTACGTTGGTGGTGCGGGAGCTGTGGCGGGCTCTGACTGGGATGCTCGCTACCCTGGAGGCTGATCGGATGTAGCCGGGGCCTCCCGTGGTTCCATGGGGCTTGTCTTGCTTAGCTGTTTTAGGCTGACCCCCTAGATGCCATTGCATGTAATTGATGCTTGTAGTAGTATGTATGTGTGAGCGAGCTTGCCGTCCCCTCACGCGCGGCCGAAGGCCGCGCTGTCGAGCGTCGGCCGCCGAAGGCGGCCGGCGCGAGCCGCTGGGTTAGAAGAAACGAACCCGCCGCTGAATAATGAGCCACCAAACCAGGCCAAGGGCCTTATATACTAGGGGTAGAGATGGCTGAGAGGCTGAGAGGCTAAGGGACTAAGGGACTATGCCTCTCTCTCTCTCTCTCTCTCTCTCTCTCTCTCTCTCTCTCTCTCTCTCTCTCTCTCTCTCTCTCTCTCTCTAATGGTCCTTGTATTGATAGAGGGTCAAAGTACATGCATGTAGGTTCATAGTATACTAGGACAGAGCTTGCAACACAGCACATCCTACCAACTACCGCCTCTAGATCTCAAGGTACGGCTCAACCACCGCAAAGCAATCCCCTGGGTGAAGCTCCTGCCCGATTCCTCCTACAGGCGGGTTCTTTGCTGCCGCCGCCTCGCCAAGCTTGAGTAGGAGACCCACTGATTGGGCTCTCTGAAGGGCCACAGACCAGCGCTGCCGGAAGAGGTGCAGAAACTTGGCGGCATAAAATGATTTGGAGTCGGCGTTGAAGTGCCGCCGAGCCGCTGTATCTGCAAGGAGCTTCAGGAAGCCGGGACTTCCGCGCACGGGCAGCCATAGGTGTCCACCGCAAGTGGGAAGAATCCCACCGTCTCTGGCCGATTGGCGTAGTGCTTGATTTTCTTATCCGCCTGTTCCCTAGCAGCCCAGCCCTTGCCCTTCTCCGCCATAGGGTCCCTTGTGCTAATGGGATCCGTGATCGTCACGTCACACACATAAACCGCCCCGCTGCTTCTGTCGGTCATGGTGAAGTCCGCGGTTTGTTCCTCGATGGGGCAGTGAACGGCCGACTCCCTGTGAACAATGAAACCAGCGTGCTGCGCCATGCTAATGCACGCATCGCGCAGCTCGTTGTGTGTGTTAATGCGATGCCTGCCGGTGCCGCAGCGGAGGAGGTGGTTCGGGAGGCGGGGATCTGTGATAGCGACCTTGTCAGCGCAGTCACAGTTCTTGGGCGTTGAAAAGGGGAGACCCAGCCGAAACCGTACGGCGTTTGTGAAATGCACGGGGCCGATCCGCCTGGTGGCCTCGATTGGGATCGCCGTCAGCCAGTCGCCAGTGGCGTACCCGGTCAGCGAGAACATACGCTGCGTATGGCCAGAGAGCGGGTTCAGCTGCATGTTCCGAGTTGCCTGGACTTGTAGGGCGTATCTGCTCGCGTGGACTTTCAAGCCGAGCACGTGCTGTAGCCTAACATCCGAGCGCTCCAGCCGTTCCTTCTCAAGGATCTCTCGCGCGTCTAGAGGCAGGGCTGCTTCGCACTCCGTGAGCCACGAGTGTAGGGGGGTGTTGTCCTCCCTAGGCGTCAGCATGTGGTTCCTGGCCGTCGTCAAGGCACTTTCGGGTTCTAGCGCAATAGAGGAGAGGAAGAGCGCCGCCTGGGTAAAACTCGCGGTGAAACCGTATATTCCTTCGATGAGCGGGTCCGTAATACCTATGCCGCCCAGGGACGTCGGCAATGACGCCTGCTCCCAGACCCGCTTTTGCTCGGCACTGCATGTCGGCGCAGGCGTAATGGCTTATTCATTTGGCGCATGCAATTTTTCGTTTGGTGCAGGTGCAGGTGCAGACGTAACCCTTCTCTTCCGCTTTTTCGTTTGGTGCAGGTGCAGGTGCAGACGTCCCTGGGTGCAGGTTGCAATTTTTTGTTTGGTGCAGGTGCAGGTGCAGGCGTCCCTAAGCTCGTTATGGGTGTTAATGCGCTGTTTGCCCATGCCGCAGCGGAAGAGATGGTTTGGCCGGCGGGGGTCCGTGTTAGCGGTGTGATCCGAGCAGTCACAGTTTTTGGGTGTGGAAAATGGGAGACCCAGGCGGAAACGCACGGCGTTGGCGAAGTGCACTGGTCCTATGCGCCGTGTTGGAGCTATGGGGATTGCTATCAGCCAGTCCCCGGTGCCGTATCCCGTGAGCGAATACATCCGCTGTGTGTGGCCGGATAGCGGATTTAACTCCATGTGCCTCGTCTCCTCTACCTGTATGGCGTATCTGCTCCCTTGAACTTTTAGTGCTAGCGCATGCTGGAGCTTAACGTCAGACCGGTCGCGTCTCTCCTTATCTAAAAGCTCGCGGGCGTCGAGTGGCAGAGCTGATTCGCACTCAGTGAGCCAGGTGTGCAGCGGAGTGGTGTCGTCGCTGGGTAGCAGCATATGGTTTCGTGCTTGTGCCAGGGCGCTGTCTGTGCCTAGCGCGAGTGAGGAGAAGAATAGGGCTGCGTCGGTAAAACTAGTGACGAATCCATGGACCCCTTCTACTAGGGGATCGGTGATGCCTATTCCGCCTAGCGATGAGGGGAGCGACGCCTGCACCCATACGCGTGACTGTTCCGTGCTACAGGATGGGACCCGAATTTTGCATGCCGTGAGTAATGTCGTCAAAAGCTCTGTTCCCCACTGTGCCCAGGTTTCGCGTGGAAGGAGATTCAATGGCGTCGTTCTTGTGAGGTATGCTACACGCCTTGAGATGCAGCGCGTGAGCAGCAGCGCAGCAACTTGGGGATCAGCTTGCCCAACGAGTGGCAACGGCTTTGTCATTTCTGCCAGTTGCGTGGCCAGGAATTTTGCCGCACCAGTGGCGGGCCCCAGGTAACTGCCCAGCAGTCGCACCCCGTCCTTAGAGAAAGGTACCCCTGGTGGTAACTGTGTAGTTTCGTTGCCAGCGGAGCACCATGCCGCACACTTCTGCGGATTATGTGCCAGGCCCAAGCGCGCCAGCTTGGCGGTGAAGCATGTGAAGGCTGCTACAGCGTCAGTTGGGTCACCCAAGAACGTGACGTCGTCTGCATGTGCCAAGCAGAGCACGTTCGGGTGTGTTGCAGCTGTTTCACGAAGTGCAGGGTGAATGCCAGCTGCAAATAGCAGCGGGCCGAGGGGGTCCCCCTGCCTCACCCCCCTTTCACTACTCCACGGGGCACTTTCAAAATTCACGTCCAGGTGCAGTTGCGAAGGGATGCCATAGGTCAACTTGACAAATGGCAGGAGTGGAGAGAGAGCAGGTTCGGCGAGTGTATCGATGAAGGCCTGGCGCGCAATGCTGTTGAACGCATTCGCGATGTCAGTCTGTAACACCAGGCAGTGGGGGTTTGAGTCTGTGAATGAGCGGGCAGCATGAATGATTACTTCGGCGCCACCTGGCACAGCTACCCCGTACTGTAGTGGGAGGAAGTGGTCACGGGCGGCCTTCCCCAGGACATGGAGCGCAGCCTTGGCTGCCAGGCGTGTCAGACATTCGCCGATGGCGATTGGTCGGGTGCCACCTCCAGGTTTGGACAGGGCGACAAGGCGCGATGCTGTTAATAGGTCAGCCACTGGTCTGGGTAAATTTCTCTCTCTCTCTCTCTCTCTCTCTCTCTCTCTCTCTCTCTCTCTCTCTCTCTCTCTCTCTCTCTCTCTCTCAAATGGACCTTGCATTGATAAGCCATAAGGGTACAAACATGCATCAGAAATGTTCATCCAAAAGCACCTATCAATTGCAAACGCCTAATATTCAACATAGGGCTCTAGAACCGCAAAGCAGTCCCCCGGATGCATATCTGTGTGGCCACCCACAGCTGGTTTCTCCGCCACTGCCGCCTGGTTTGACTTCATAAGGTATCCTACGGACTGCGCGCGTTGCAGGGCGACCGACCAGCGCTGCCTGAATTGGTGAAGGAACTTTGCAGCTTGGAAAGAGTTTGGATCGGCGTTGAAGTACCGCCGAGCTGCCGAGTCCGCCAGCAA